TACAACGACGGCCTGTCAATGATCAAGTCAGGACCAGAAAATCCACTGATTGATATCATGATCTTCATCCCATGCAGTCGGGCACCTTACCTCCTGATCGCCACTTACAACCAACTGGGGACCATTTCTAACCTGGACTTGCCACAGGGTTCTCGGCAAACACTTCATCAGTCCAGATGAAAATAATAGTGCATAAGATTGAGTGCGGAAATTTTCTGTGGAAAAATTGTCTAATTTGGCAAAAATAAGAGCTCATAAGTTTTTATGATTTAAAATGCTGCATGTCCTTCATCAAAGTCTAGAATTGACTATAGACAAAGTTATTTGTTAAAGCTGATACAAATGCAACTATTAATAATGAATTTACAAGGGGGGAAAAAATTACCAATGTAATTGGTGGCACTTGCTAGTTTCACTTGTGAATTTCAGTGCTATATTTGTATGTTACCCACTGTAGGCAGAACCAAAGCAAGTAGAGCCCAACTTATCCAAACTGACTGTATGGTACAGAAACAGTAGACGACACACAGCAGTCTTGTTTTAGCATATATACGGTGATATTCCATGAACATTTTAACATGTATCATGTATGAGTGATCGTCGGCAGTTTGCGGATCAATACATTAAGGCAGACCTACTGTTAGAGACAGTCTCGACCAAGCCTGCTAAATCAATAGGTTTGATTAGCCCTGTATTTTCATCACAGGTAAGCATTTTTCTCGAGACACGCTAACTGTTCCCAGTTGTTGGGTCAGCATTATTTCTACCTGTATACACGTCTACATTCACTTAAAAGCTGCCATTATCTACAACAGCGACAATTGAGCAAGAGTTCACAGACAGTTATTAATCAATAGTGCACGCCGCCTCGCTATGCATGGCTGGCTTCGAGGTTTCCGAGGACAGGTTGGAAAGAGACATCGGGTGTGCACGTTCTGATTGGCTGGCTGCATCAGCCGACCCAGTTTTTAGTTTGCGGATATAGGTGTTCTGTGGTTGGGAGTTAGTGAGGGGAATGAGGCAATTATATACAGTGAGCTGGCTGATCGCTGTCTGGAGGACAGCTAACGTCTGGCGCGCTGTTCCTTTGATGTCACCTGGATTAGTATATACAGGTAAGAGGGGTCCCACAGGCGGGCTGGAAAGCTGTCCTTCCTTACGTAGAGTGGAGAAGGGCTAGGGAGGTGTCTTGTATGTAATATGACAGGGTATTGGTGTAATTTATGTGTGTCAATGTTGATACACCTGTAGTGTGGAGTCTTGTCTGGCTGGTGGGAAGGCCTCCATTAATGATTGAGTTTTGTTTCATCACTATTTGTGGCAATGACGGATATTTAATTATGAGGGAAGGTGAGAGTCAGTCGTTATGTTCATAAGCCGGTTATATATAGTTTCCTCCAAAAATAATGTTATTCAGTTCTGAGACGTTTAATTTCAAATTACTGTACTCCTGTGGACAAGTGGATGTCATTTTGTTTGTAAGTTATGAAAGGTTTTCTCACCCTGTGAGTTTGTTTTTTGTTAGATTTAGTTCAACCATAAATGTCAGTGAAACATTTCTATTTCAAAAGTTGAATTGGATTAAATATGGTTCAGTATGGAGTTAAGTTTAAAAACAGTTGGCGTCTACTTGGGACGAGGACATTGAACATATAGTAATCCTGATGCTAGTTAAGTTTGTGTGGGGAGTATCATGTACACGATACATATTTAGAGTTGAAGTGTGTCAGTCTGTCTGGCTGACTGACTGTTCTGCGTGACAACGCCTTCAGACAGGAGAACAGGATTTAAATGAATTGCGTCATAAATATGGCAGTTGGCTGAGTTTACACAAGCTGTGTCTTAACAGCGGATTGTTGAAGGGGCAAGATATGGTGGGAGAGAGGTTTTTTTCTCAATTTCTGTGGTCTGTAGACAGGTGGGTAATCGTAATCACTTGTGTGATCTTACACATTCTTTCAAATGGCGGCAGCTTGGTGACATTGTGCAGTTGTCTGTGATCCTGTCTGGGTCATTGATACACTCCTGTGCAGCATGCATTCGGACTACTCACGACCGCTGGACCCGCATAACTCACTACTGCTGGGTGTCCGTGGTGACAGTTTGGGGGTCAGTGGTGACAGTCGGGGGGGTCCGTGTTGACAGTCAAGTGGTCCTTGGAGACAGTCTAGTGGTACATGGTGACAGTCTCAGGGTCTGGAGTGACAGTCTAGTGGTCCGCGGAGACAGCCTAGTGGTACGTGGTGACAGTCTGGGGGTCCATGGTGACTGTCTAGTGGTCCATGCTGACAGTCTGGTGGTCCATGCTGACAGTCTAGTGGTCAGTGGTGACAGTCTAGTGGTCCATGCTTACTCTGGCAGTCCATGGTGATAGTCTAGTGGTCCATGGTGACAGTCTAGTGGTCCATGGTGACTGTCTAATGGTCCATGGTGACAGTCTAGTAATGGATGGTGACAGTCTGGGTGTCTGTGCAGACTTTTACAATGAACTTATGTAATTTGGAACATTTCATTTATTGGATTTTTGTCTGTCTATATTTACTCCTATGTATATATTTTATCACTTATTGGGGTAGTCTTTTACATTAATCCTTTGTCATCCGCACGATTTTAAAACCTGCATAATTCATTTTATTTTACAAATATTATGCCTCCTTCCTTCATATGAAATAAGGAGTATACATTTCTGTGATCCATCACCTGTAAATTCTGAAGGCAGACTTTGAATAAAGAAAAAAATTAAGTTCTACAAAGCTGACATCGAGTAGGTCACCTTTAACTGGATGGTGCTGTTGGCTTGAAACTTGAACCCAACTGATAGCTTGCCACTTATTTGAATTTTTAAAAACGAATTGAGGACAACCCAGATAAGCAAGTTGATCGTGCAGCCTTGGTAGACATTTCGACCCAGTGAGGTCACACACTTGGGCAGACGGAATCACTCAAGGGACTGTCTCAAGAAGTTTACAAAAATAATTTCTCTCAAGTATTCAAACATCTTGGTGAACGGGCACCAGCTGTATTCATGAATGTTTTTTAGACTACATTCAAGATACAAAGATTCTTGATTCGTGAAGAGATATCATCATGACTACACACGGAAATGAGCCGGAGTGTGTCATGTTTATTGTCTGCCGCAATCAATGTCGTAGTGACTGCTGCTTTTGTTACAAGAACATCAGGGACTCCCCATCCATGACCGCTGTTCTATCAAACTTCTGCTTGCTATTGAATATTGTACACTTTTTCCACCTAAGAGAACATACTGAATGGCTTTTTCATCATCTATTTTTGGCAAGGATATATTAAGACATGGTGGAGTAGGCAAGGATGAGTGACTCGGAGTACCCGGTTCCTACTCACTACCCGCCTGACCCGAGTACCCGGCTCCTACTCACTACCCGCCTGACCCGAGTACCAGGCTCCTACTCACTACCCACCTGACTTGAGTATCCGGCTCCTACTCACTACCCACCTGACCCGAGTACCCGGCTCCTACTCACTACCCACCTGACCCGAATACCCGGTTCCTACTCACTACCCACCTGACCCGAGTACCCGGCTTCTACTCACTACCCACCTGACCCGAGTACCCGGTTCCTACTCACTACCCGCCTGACCCGAATACCCAGTTCCTACTCACTACCCACCTGACCCGAGTACCCGGCTCCTACTCACTACCCGCCTGACCCGAGTACCCGGTTCCTACTCACTACCCACCTGACCCGAGTACCCGGCTCCTACTCCCTACTGCCTGACTCGAGTACCCGGCTCCTACTCACTACCCACCTGACCCGAGTACCCGGCTCCTACTCACTACCCACCTGACCCGAGTACCAGGCTCCTACTCACTACCCACCTGACCCGAGTACCCGGTTCCTACTCACTACCCACCTGACCCGAGTACCCGGTTCCTACTCACTACCCACCTGACCCGAGTACCCAGTTCCTACTCACTATCCGCCTGACCCGAGTACCCAGTTCCTACTCACTATCCGCCTGACCCCAGTTCCCGGCTCCTACTCACTACCCACCTGACCCGAGTACCCGGTTCCTACTCACTACCCACCTGACCCGAGAACTCAGTTCCTACTCACTATCCGCCTGACCCCAGTTCCCGGCTCCTACTCACTACCCACCTGACCCGAGTACCCGAGTTACCCAGGCCAGCCTACCTGGGTTAGACACATGATATTTGGTTCATGACAAATATTCACTTCTGTGGTTATACCGTTTCACTGTAAGTCACTGATGTTAGCATTTCTTTCTGAGTATGCACACATTCCTTCTGACTTTTTTATATTGATTTAAGATATAGCTTCAGTCAACTTCAGTGTATGCATGATCCCATTGTTTTATATGTGTATCTATATACCTTCTGCCAGGGTTTCGGTAAAATAATTCCCAATTGGACATTTAGTAACCATCTCTTGAGACCTACAGCAGGTACCCGGGTTGGGTCGGGTAATAAGAGGTTGGTTACCCATGTAGTAAATTTGGACCCCAGTATTGGTATTTGAAATTAAGCATGAAAGGGAAGAATTTCTATAGCTATTACTATAGCCACTAATCTCAATGACCCTACAACAGACCTCAATGTCGAACACTGGCATGTGTATATGTTATTTTAAATGAATAGTTTACAATAGTTCAGACAATAGTTCAAAATGAATACTTTGTTGTCAGGTGTGAAAATGGATAGATTGTTTGATGGTGCTCAGTAGTTTTGTTTGTTGGATACAGCTGGGAAAATGATAAATTGTTCCCCCCAAACTTTGTATACACCCCCATACAAGTCAAATGGATGCTCCTGTATCCAATTCATTTCTTTACACCAACAGTTTCTGTGATATCTTTAATGTTGTGTTTTACACAAGTAATAAGGGTTGTTTATGATTGCCTTTTTCACCTACCTTTTTGTATACCTTTGGTAATCAGCCACACTTGATCCTTCATCGTTAATTGTATGTTTTTTATTTACATTTCCAATTTTGTTCCAGGTCAGTGGCATGGAGAGTGTATGAAAGAAGCTGCTGTCAGTGCCGTGGATAATCTTAATGTGTGCAGGAGTTGAACAAGACATATGGATTAATGGCTTAATTTCATACAGGAAGTACCGTAGGTTCACTTATTCACATGATCCAGGTAAGCTATGATCCATTATTCTCCCTAAACCCTGAATGGTGTATGCACATTTCTCAACAGCGTATATAGGGAGACTTCTAGGACTATTTGTGGGCGTGTCTTCTATCCGTATTGATTGTTAGTGAAGGAAGTTTGCTGTGTTAAAGCCACACTGGACAAACCCGTAGATCCGAACTTGTGCTGGCTTGGTGATCGCAAGCTCGCGTCTACGTGTCTGTGTTGCTGTGGAAACAATCAAAACACAGGTCCACATATTGTCGTTAGTCATTTGCATATTCAGTGGTGCACACATTGGAAAAGTTGAGTCAATGGGTTTATCAATATGGTAAATGGACCATCCATAAGGCTGTCTGGCATAAATTAGTCTCATATCGATTGTCTTCAATACATTGAGTTGCTTTTTTCTTTCTAAAGTGCAAGATGATTTCATGATTTGAATTTCATTCTTGATGTCGTTATGGAATGCCTGATTTAGGCAAGAGTTTGGGTTTGATTTATCGTGGAGGTTTTTCATTGGTTGTCACTTTGCGAAGAGGTATCTGGTTGGCCACAAGGATGCTCATGAATATTCGTGTTCTCGGACTGAGGTAGTAGGTTGTATAGTTGAGAACTACACCCATTATAGGAGCACTGTACAACCTTCTAGCTTTCCCTGAGACATGACTCACAACTGTGGCGTCACCATGACGCACTGCAACATCTACGACGCTTTCCAGCAACAGTAAGTCACCGGAAAGGAAAAAAAACCTCAGCGCTGTACTTCTATCTATAGCCAGATTTGAAAATGGAAAAATGTTAAATGATTCAGGAATTTATTTGGTATTTCAAACTAAGTGCCTTTAGCAGGCAGTTTTGAAAACAATTTTGATATTGTTAAAAATTGTATTTTTTTAATGTTTATATTTTTCGTAAATATTGAGGAACTGGGATTGATTTATTTTCAAATTGGGAATTTTACATCATTTGCTGCCTTGGGCCTCTGACCAGGTCTCGATAAATCCCTGTGATTCTAGTTTATTATTCTGCAACTGGTTTGTTAAATGCTTGCTCTGATTGGTTGCGTCCAGCTTGAAGGAGTCAGCGGTTCCAAACAGTCAGTTACAGCATATTGCTTCAAAATTCAAAATTTCTAACTTATCATTTACAACTTTTTTATACTAAACTTGGTGAATTCATATCCATCCCATCAATCCTAAATATCTGATCATGGAACAGAATATTTCTATAAATATAATTCTATAAATATTAATACTTTCATCATAACCAAATGCATTGTGTTATTACACAATACATTATTTTTGTCATTTGATGCATTTTATTGTTATATTATACGTTATCATGAGGCCCATCGTATTACATTATTACACAATGCATTAATAAATGAATATATTTCATGCAGTGGCCGCAGACATTAATATTTTGAGTATGTGTCATTTCATGATCTCATTATATTCCTGACTAGTGTATTGCAAGCAGTATTCACGAATTGATTATGATCTCCCGCCATTGGCCTACAGGATAATAGTTAGTTGTCAGGCAAATAGTGTCTGGGGTCTGCCATAGTCAAGGGTACATAATTGCTTATGAATTCCTTAATCTATACTATATTACGTATGATCAATTGTTTCTATAGAAGTCTGAATCTGTCCCCGTCATTGTCTTTGTGTCTACGAGAAACAAAGATTTCAACATCAATACATGTCCTTTTCATTGAAAGCTGAATCTTGTTACATAGGATATGGGGACCACCTCCTGGTCTAGTGGTAGAGCGTCCGCCCAGAGAGTGGAAGGTCAGGGATTCGATCCTGGTTGTGTCATACCAAAAGACGTTAAAATATGGTACTTGTTGTTACCCTACCTGGCGCTGGGCATTAAGTGGCATACACGTCGCAATATAAGTTCAATAATCTTGGAAGGCGATGTTTAACACCATTTCACCTCACCTCACCTTCCTCACCTCACCTCACCTTCCTCAACTCGCCTCACCTTCCTAACCTTATCTCAACTTAGGAAAGGTTGGCAAATGTTTACATAGACTTGAATGATTGACTATGAATATTAATGTGGCTAAAACCTTGAATTCATAATGTTGAGAAGGTATTTGGAATGTCCCTCCGGGCCGTGGACTAAAAGGTCAACCATCTATGAGAGATGTATTCACAACATATGCTATTTCGTAGACAGACAATTCTTGAAATAACAATCATTCCCTTGGCTGTTTTTGAAAATCTACTCGATCCAAATTTTGCTATCCTCAGTTGATGGTATATTCCGTTAACCGTGACTGAAATTTGGAGTTTTGGACTGAAACTGAGACATATTCTTTAGGGTAGTCATTAACTGTTAGGTAGGGTAGCCTTGTGGTTGAAGCATTGGCTTGTCAAGCTGTAGACCCGGGTTCAATTCCCCCACATGATGTGAAGCCCATTTCTGGTGTCCCCTGCCATGATATTGCTGGAATATTGCTAAAAGTGGCATAAAACAATACTCATGCACTACATTATACGATTTGAATTCACAGACAGTGTGAACAGGCCCTCTTGAAGAGCTTCCTCTAGATGTTTTTCTACTGTGTCAGTAGGGGTTAATTAGGTCATGGAATTGCAGCTAATTAGGTCATTGGCCACACTGTCGGGATGTGGCTCAGAATGTCTTCCATCTTGTGATTTTATATATATATATACGATATCACTAATTTGCTCAATTTCGGTATTACAAAATGTTTTGAAGATCCAAGCAAACAGGTTATAACATAAAGAAATAAACAGGCTAAGTCTTTCAACAATTTGAAAATGTCAGTCTTTAGACTATTGTGTAGCAGTACATTTATTTGATTGTTATGAAATGCAGACTTTGTTGTGTATATATAAACGTCAACCTTGTCGCTATAGTGTATACAGTGTGTATACACCAAGAAATATTGAACACTCACCCAGTGTATACATCCCTGCACACAAGCTACTGTATAGCAGTGGCAATCACCTATATAGCTCAGCACTCTAGTTGATCTATTTATATTCCCAGTCAATAATTGATGTATCATATACATAACCCTACATAGCATAACCTCAGTATAATGCTAGCCTCATTATAAGAACATTAATTCTAAAGAGAAACACATGGTGTAATTACATTGTATTTAGTTACTGATGGTGGTGGTGTCTTACTTTAAGGAGTCTTGTCTCTTATGACTGAGAGTTAAAGTGATCAAGAGATTGACATTTGTATTTCATTACATCTCTAGATATCATAATCCCTGTCCATTTAATAGACCAGTATTGTGTGTCAGACACTGACTGTAGGTAGGCAAGACACTAGAGTCTTTAGGTGGTGAATAGACCAGTATTGTGTCAGACACTGACTGTAGGTAGGCAAGACACTAGAGTCTTTAGGTGGTGAATAGACCAGTATTGTGTCAGACACTGACTGTAGGTAGGCAAGACACTGGAGTCTTTAGGTGGTGAATAGACCAGTATTGTGTCAGACACTGACTGTAGGTAGGCAAGACACTGGAGTCTTTAGGTGGTGAATAGACCAGTATTGTGTCAGACACTGACTGTAGGTAGGCAAGACACTAGAGTCTTTAGGTGGTGAATAGACCGGTATTGTGTCAGACACTGACTGTAGGTAGGCAAGACACTAGAGTCTTTAGGTGGTGAATAGACCAGTATTGTGTGTCAGACACTGACTGTAGGTAGGCAAGACACTAGAGTCTTTAGGTGGTGAATAGACCAGTATTGTGTGTCAGACACTGACTGTAGGTAGGCAAGACACTAGAGTCTTTAGGTGGTGAATAGACCAGTATTGTGTCAGACACTGACTGTAGGTAGGCAAGACACTTGAGTCTTTAGGTGGTGAATAGACCAGTATTGTGTCAGACACTGACTGTAGGTAGGCAAGACACTAGAGTCTTTAGGTGGTGAATAGACCAGTATTGTGTGTCAGACACTGACTGTAGGTAGGCAAGACACTAGAGTCTTTAGGTGGTGAATAGACCGGTATTGTGTCAGACACTGACTGTAGGTAGGCAAGACACTAGAGTCTTTAGGTGGTGAATAGACCAGTATTGTGTCAGACACTGACTGTAGGTAGGCAAGACACTAGAGTCTTTAGGTGGTGAATAGACCAGTATTGTGTCAGACACTGACTGTAGGTAGGCAAGACACTGGAGTCTTTAGGTGGTGAATAGACCGGTATTGTGTCAGACACTGACTGTAGCTAAGCAAGACACTTGAGTCTTTAGGTGGTGAATAGACCAGTATAGTGTCAGACACTGACTGTAGGTAGGCAAGACACTAGAGTCTTTAGGTGGTGAATAGACCAGTATTGTGTCAGACACTGACTGTAGGTAGGCAAGACACTAGAGTCTTTAGGTGGTGAATAGACCGGTATTGTGTCAGACACTGACTGTAGGTAGGCAAGACACTGGAGTCTTTAGGTGCTGAATAGACTGGTATTGTGTCAGACACTGACTGTAGCTAAGCAAGACACTAGAGTCTTTAGGTGCTGAATAGACCATTATAGTGTCAGACACTGACTGTAGGTAGGCAAGACACTTGAGTCTTTAGGTGGTGAATAGACCAGTGTCATGTTTAAGATATTGACTGCATAGGTATGCATGACACCTGACTTTTTAACTGGTGATTTACCCGCCATTATGTCTCAGACACCGGTCGCTGTCATATTGCTTGAATATTTCCGAATGTGGCATTAACAAACCAAAAGTGATTCTGTATTTAGTGAAAACACCAATATGTTGTTGATAGCCATGTGAGTCTTTCAGTTACCAATGATATTGCCTGTTGTTGCTTGTTTAATAAATTTTGTAAATGCAAGCACACCTTCTGTATTTGTATCTGAGACCAGACATTCCAATTGGTAAGCTCTGGGAATATCTTCTTGTGATATAATGACTTTGTTCATTTTGGAAATACAATTGAAAATAATTATTTGGTGAGGCGATTAGCTGCATCACTATTGCTGCACTCTTAACTGATGTTTTCTCTTGCTTACAGGATGAAGAGTCTTCAAGGTCTACCTGGTTGTCATGGTGACAGATAACACAGGTGAGTCCACAGCTTGAGATATCTTTGTACAAAGGCTGTCAAATATCTGACTGAGGGACAAAAAGAATATTTTTTAATAGGAGCATGGCTAGATAGAGACCAGCGAAACATCTTTCCACATTTCCATGGCATCCGGAATCACACACTGACTGACTCAATCACTCACTGGCTCCTTCAGTAAGTTCAGTGCAGTGAGCTACAGTGCCTTTGACAATCACAGACAGTTTGTGGAGAATCCAGTAATCTGATACCCTGCCTCAACTCTTCCACCTCACAGCTCTGTCCTGTTGACAACCATGGCCCGTCACAGTCCATTAGACAGAAGGTCAAGTTAGGCCAGATTAGAGATTTTCCAAGGGAATACAATATATTTGTGATGCAAACTTAGTTCCTCTCATACAGGCCAGGCACCTTTTTTGTTGATGTGTTGTTATGTGAGTCAAGCTCGGCAGAGGGTAAGGAAATCTGGAATGTCTGCTGACCACACCTTACTGACCTCCTGGGAGTTGCAACAGTCTGACAAAACATGATCCTCCTTGATAGGCACATTGCACTGGAGTACATTCAGTGAGGTGTCTCTTCTGCTTAAAACCCTGACTTACCAATGAAGAACCGGATCAGAATAGGTCTTTGGCAACCCATGCTTGCCGTAAGAGGCGACTAACGGGATTGGGTGGTCAGGCTCGGTGACTTGGTTGGTGCATGTCATCGTATCTTAATTGCATGGATCGATGCTCATGATGTCAATCATTGGTTTGTCTGGTCCAGACTCGATTATTTACAGACCGCCTTCATATATTTGGAATATTGCTGAGTGCAACGTTAAACAATGACGAACAAAAGTGTAATAATGCTAGAATATTGCCATTTGGCAAATGAGCCCCAATACACATAAAGAGAATGGTTGAAGCTATTGGTAATTCTAGAGATTCAATGTTGGGGATGAATCTCTAGAAACTTTCGGTGGTCGGGGAACACAACCTGAACATGGCAAGTGTTGAAGGCTTAGTGCGTCTCAACATGACCGGAAAGAGACACATCATATCAATGATTGCGACAGCATGGATGAGACAGCCTAACTCATTGCTCAACTGTCACGTGGATCTCAGGGTATGTGTCCATCATTCTTGCTCAGGTTGTGATGGTTTTCTATGCTGTAATGAGGACTATGGTTGTTTGCCAGTCCTGAGTTGTGACAATGTTGTGAATGATCCGAACTGATGGATCTGGTGTGGGAGCGGGCCGCTGACTTCACCATTATCTGGACAACATGCCATCTGTGATGCAGGGAATTGCTTGGAAGACATCTTGACGTTTCGAAGTCATTAAAACACACATTTACTACAGAGTATTCGCCACTTTTTTATGAGCAAGTAAAAGTTTTACAATGTGGTTGGCAGTTGTGATGCAGATGATGATTGTGTCCTCTGTGAAAACAAATATAAATAGGATAGAAAAAAATAATATTCACGATGTGAGTGTTGATTTGGTTACTGCTTCAAGACAATTTTTTCTCTGAAGGAAGAAAAAACACACATCTGTCATGGAATTTTGTTTATAAACCTGACGCAAAATTGTTTTCTAACAATATTTTATGAAACAAATTAGTCATAACTTTAAATCCCCCTTACAATCCCCATCCATTCCCTCCTGTCCCATCCAATCACCACCCATTCCATCCCATACAATCACCACCCATTCCATCCCATCCAATCACCACCCTTTCACCCCATCCAATCACCACCCATTCCATCCCATCCAATCACCACCCATTCCATCCCATCCAATCACCACCCATTCCATCCCATCCAATCACCACCCATACCATCCCATCCCATCAGCACCCATCCCATCCCATCCCATCAGCACCCACTCCATCCCATCCAATCACCACTCATTCCATCCCATCCAATCAGCAGAATGGTCAGTTGTTTTCTATCAAATATCACAATCAATAGAAGACTGGAGTAACAGTAGGGCTGTTCATGGTCATGTTGTAGGGCTGCCAATATCCTGTAGCCATTGCAGATATGTCTTACCTTCTTTTCTCAATGAAACAGTTCTTAAGAGAAAGAACCAACCTCCACAACTTGTGTTCCACAAATAGATGTTGTTCTGTTTATTTCCTGCTGATTAATGTATAAAGATAGTAAACATGGGTACACAGAATCAGCAACTTTAGTAGCAGTAGAAATAATTTTAGTCCACTAGTCCTTATAATGATATAGCGAAACCCTTAAATATGGCCAATTTCTACTAGTCTGTATGATCTTAATTATTGGCACTTCGGCAAGGACTACAGGACTAGTGCTAGGTTTCTAACGCTGTTTAGGCTAAAGTCCATGGCACAAGTCTTGTAGAGTTTCTAGTGTAGAAAGATCAGCTTTTCCCAGTCCATACACCAAGACTATCTACTGAAAACAGTGCTGTATGCAAGTCCAGGCTACTTGTGGACTCTAAGTTATTGACCCTCACTGGGGATGGGGATACGTATCGTATCACATGGTACCACTGGTACTGTTGAATATCCCTACACACACACTGCTGAATCGGCAGTATCGGACACAGCTGTCTCCAGGCCAATCTACTGCAAACGTCCGTAATAGTGCTGATTCATCATATTGATCGTGGCGGTGGCTGCGAAGCTCGCTTTTGTAGATTCCTCCTCGCAGCAACGTCAGCGCGATCATTTCTATATTCAACGTCGGGGGCGTCAAATTAACCGTAGTCATTCACCCACTGACATGATCTTCCAAGGCCAGAGCTTGCCTGCAACAGAAGGCATGCTTGTTCAATAATCTACACACAGACAGAGAGAGGGAAAATGTAGTTGTTTGACGGGATGGATGCCCTGGCCTGACTAGCAGTATATAGACATCATTGGCAGATATCCCTGACAGGCTGTCCGAGGCCGTACTGGCGGAGGCAAAGGGAAAAAAAGGCCAAGAAAAGTAAGGATGTTAGAGAAAATGGGGAAAGATTCATTTGGGAAAAGGAATAAGAAGGGGGAGGACACTGATGGAGATTGGGAGGGGCATTGTTCAGATGGAAGGGGCACTGAAGGAGATGGAAGGGGCATTGGTGGAGGAGGGAGGTGCATTGGTGGAGGAGGGAGGTGCATTGGTGGAGGAGGGAGGTGCATTGGTGGAGGAGGGAGGGACATTGGTGGAGGTGGGTGGGGCACTGGTGGAGGAGGGAGGGGCATTGGTGGAGGAGGGAGGGACATTGGTGGAGGAGGGTGGGGCACTGGTGGAGGAGGGAGGGACATTGGTGGAGGTGGGAGGGGCATTGGTGGAGGAGGGAGGTGCATTGGTAGAGATGGGGGGAAGGGGCATTGTTGGAGGAGGGAGGGGCATTGTTCAGATGGAAGGGGCACTGAAGGAGATGGAAGGGGCATTGGTGGAGGAGGGAGGTGCATTCGTGGAGGAGGGAGGTGCATTGGTGGAGGAGGGAGGGACATTGGTGGAGGTGGGTGGGGCACTGGTGGAGGAGGGAGGGGCGGGCATTGGTGGAGGAGGATGGGGCACTGGTGGAGGAGGGAGGAGCATTGGTGGAGGAGGGAGGGGCATTGGTGGAGGAGGGAGGTGCATTGGTAGAGATGGGGGGAAGGGGCATTGTTGGAGGAGGGAGGGGCATTGTTGGAGGAGGGAGGGGCATTGGTGGAGGTGGGAGGGATATTGGTGGAGATGGAAGGGACATTGGTGGAGATGGAAGGGGCACTGGTGGTGGTTGGAGGGGCACTGGTAGAGGTGGTAGGGACATTGGTGGAGGTGGGAGGGACATTGGTGGAGATGGATGGGGCACTGGTGGTGGTTGGAGGGGCACTGGTAGAGGTGGAAGGGGCACTGGTGGAGGTGGAAGGGGCACTGGTGGAGGTGGGAGGGGCACTGGTTGAGGAGGAAGGGACACTGGTGGAGATGGAAGGGGCACTGGTGGTGGTTGGAGGGGCACTGGTTGAGGAGGAAGGGGCACTGGTTGAGGTTGGATGGGCACTAGTTGAGGAGGAAGGGGCACTGGTGGAGATGGAAGGGGCACTGGTGGTGGTTGGAGGGGCACTGGTTGAGGAGGAAGGGGCACTGGTTGAGGTTGGATGGGCACTGGTTGAGGAGGAAGGGGCGGGGCACTGGTTGAGGAGGAAGGGACACTGGTAGAGATGGAAGGGGCACTGGTAGAGGAGAAGGGGCACTGGTGGAGGTGGAAGGGGCACTTGTAGAGGAGAAAGGGGCACTGGTAGAGGAGGAAGGGACACTGGTGGAGGAGGAAGGGGCACTGGTAGAGGAGGAAGGGACACTGGTGGAGGTGGGAGGGGCACTGGTAGAGGAGGAAGGGACACTGGTGGAGGAGGAAGGGGCACTGGTAGAGGAGGAAGGGGCACTGGTGGAGATGAAGGGACTGATGAAGATGGAAGGCAGTGATTAAGGCAAGCCTATGTGTTGCTGTATGACTGAAGAAGGGCACTGATGACAGTAAGGGCTCTGTTCTAAGACACACCGTCTGTGGCAGACATGAACAGTCTCTCTGCCATCTGACATTACTGGCCACTACATTGATCTGCCCAGCTGTCACAACGATTATCATTAGAGGGATAAACTAAACAGTTGTCTTCTACACATCAGGAGTATAGATTTCACACATATATTCACTGATTTGCTTACAGTGGTATTGAATTATCCATTTGTCTGAAGTGAAATAGGTGATTTATCAAACCCTCAGCCATGTGATACACATCAGTGGTACAATGTCCTTATATCAAAGTATATTTAATAGTAAGGCAAGGTGAGGTGAGGTGAGGTGAAATGGGCTTTTACTATTAGTTCAAGATTATTGCTCTTGAATAGCGACATACATGCATACGTGTGTGTGTGTGTGTGTGTGTGTGTATGCATGCATGTGTGCGGCTGCTTGTACTAGTTCGAACTAATGCCGATTTTATAGTGCTAGCTCACTGAGATACAGATACCATGCCGCTGTTTAACATGAAAACCCCCTTCAGACACAGCATACTGACTCCGAGCAGACTCATGTTATGGTACAATACAGCCAGGGATCAAACCACTGACTTTCCACTCCCCCTACACCGGCTAACTTTCAGCATATTTTGGAAAAAAACATTCTCATCCCTTGACGCGCTTTTTTATAATGAAATATAGTTCCGAGAAGTGTTAAACCAAATTCAATCACTCCCTCATGGCCACATTTTATACATCGGAAGGAAACTCTACCATAAACTAAATGAACAAACACACTTTCTGCTGGGCCACAGGTGTTGCTGTGAAGCTGATGTCTGGCTCAGAGGACAATTACAAGCATTCAGTAATACCATCTGCACCAGTTATAAACCTATCAGTTTGAGGTCACAAGGTTCGACATTAACTATTTATCAATATGACAGCTTGGTAAGCCTGTTTGCTTTGGGTATTACAAATTGAATATCTGTGAGCCCTTGCTCCACAACTTTGTCTTTTAACTGATTTTGTGGGTGTGTCATCGGAACAGTTAAACGTAGTAACAGAAAATATCAAAGGAGGTGCTTAAAGATGAGATGTTTTCACATAGACGGATGAGATTGATATTGATCATCATATTATTTTGACATAGCTGTATACCATTAGCTTCGTCTTTTGAATTTAGGTGTCAGCTTGAGCTTCATCAAAACTTCTCAACAGAACACCTGATTCTTTCTTAATACGACAAGACATGCCACGACAGATTAACTATAGTAATAGGAAAGAATCAGGTGTTCTTTAACTTCTTTTGTGTAGTATAGCTAGAATGTTGCACACACACACACACACACACACACACACACACACACACACACACACACACACACACACACACACACACACACACACACAGAGAGTAGATTACTAATGTCACATCACAAGGGGATGAATATGTTAGATATCATGTTGCCATGGAGAAAACGTCTTAATGCCCTGATCTGTTGTGTTCTGACATCACTTAACCTAAGTGCGACATGATGACAGGATGCTATCACCTTTAGTCATTCAACAACGCTCTCGAATGACCGCACATAAGAACCACTTCACAAACAATCAAACCAATCGCGCTATAAGGTCATGGCTTGAGCCAAAAACCCTCAGGTAAAACTGGTTATCAGCGTTCTGGATTATTGTTTCGTTTTCTTGAAATAGCCTTGATTTTGAGAGTATCTGATCTCTACATTTTACCAAGGAGTGTGTATTTGAAATCACCAAAACAGCATGAAAGGCCTTGAAGTTAAACTTCATCATAGTTACTTTTGACAAACATTTTTATGTTGTCATTTCTTTTTCATCAAAAGGTTGTTGAACTGTCAAAAAAGACTTGCAGCCGATCATTGATGAGATCTATTTTAGTTATAGATTGAGAGTTACTTCCTTGAGTATAGGGTAGATCTTGTTCAAAGGAAAATTACCAATGTGGCCCTGTGCCTTCGTCCAGCCAGCCATGCACATGATAATTATGTATGACTTCTATTTAGGTGATTCTATGCTAAATTTAAGAAATTATGGCTTTAATTTGGTTATTATCTTTGTTACGAAATGCCATGAAAGTGTAAAACACGGAAATTATGAAAGGCCTTGCATTTGAGTGAAGCATGATCTACTCACATGTATGCATGTCTCATTGGGTGTTCCTATTATTCTTTGGGTATATTCAAACTGCTTAGGTAAGGTCTATTTGGATTTTTAAATATCCTCGTGTTATGGGTTTTTGGACACTTTTGAATATTCACAACTTTGTCACTAATCACATGAACAACTGTAAAACATCTCACTCACTCACATAAGCAAACTTTATCTTAAAAATAACCCATCATCACATAGCTGGAATATTGCTGAGTGCGGTGTTATACATCAAACAAACAAACATCATGTGTTCTTACAAGAAGGGTGCCATCTCGAAAGCGACATTTGTATAAGTATAAGCGTGTGTGGTGTGTGTGCGTGTGTGCGTGTGGTGTGTGTGTGTGTTTGTATGCGTGTGTGTGTGTGCGTGTGGTGTGGTGTGTGTGTGTGTGTGTGTGCATGCATGCGTGTGTGTGTGTGTGTGTGCGTGCATGCGTGTGGTGTGGTGTGTGAGTGTGAGATGCTGCACACAGCTTGTAAAGATCGGTAAGGTAGTATGGTGTTCGAGTACCAGGTTGTTTGATAATGTTATAATGCAACAGATGAAATAACCAGTTTATCAATGTGATCCTGTTTGATCAATATTACCCTCTTCTATCATTGTCCTGTTTTACATGCATCAAAGAAGCAGTTTCGTTAATCAAAACTAACACCAATCTTTAAAGTCATTCAAGGAGGTAAATATTAATGGTCCTAACCTAGGGTCATCTGAGTAGTACAGTGTTAAACTGGAATCCTCTCCTCTGAGACCTCAATAGAAGAGTGTCCTTCCTGCCGTCTTTTACCATGTGTTTGACTTAAAGTGCTATCCTTACTTAAAAGATGTCTGCTATACGGATTCATCTTCGGATGCTATTTTCCTGAAAACCTATTGACAGTAGGCTCATGCTCTTCCTAACAGACAGACACTTAACCGACGCCACTATGCAAATTTGGTACACATCTGAGAGAATCCCCCAAAGCATGATGGCTGCTTTAGTGTTGGCCCATAGTTTGAACACAGCACTTAGCGGTGCTTAAATCATTGCACTCGTTAGGCGGAGCTGGATTCATTCCTTTTTACGATAGCACAGAAGCTTTGATCTTGAAGAACTGTCGATGTGGTCACATCAAAATGGCACTCGAAGCTCGTGTTGTAAGAGTAACTCCGCGACCTGACAGACTCGAGTCTCGGTGACGGTAATGCCACCAGTCGACCCTGAAATTGATTAATGAATCTATCAGTATTAAATATAACCGCCATAATCGTGGCTGTAGGTTGGTCACGTCAGGGTTCAGTCTCAAGTTTCATAACGCTGTAATATGTTAAGCTACTTCTTGAAATGATAATAAAGGCTTATTATCTAAAACAATGTGGAAATTATCAAGTTGGTCATAAATCCTGGGCTGAAACTGGGCTGAGGCTTTGTGATGAGAGGATAGCAAAGGGAGAGCTTGTCTGGCATCAGCCGATGGGACTTCCTGGTTTGCTGAGAATGTCAGTGGTCAGGAGCACAGGGTGATTTGAAAAACTTAAAGCCTTCTTTATTGGGGGAATTCTTTTTTACAACAGTAAGTTATTTTGGTTATCTGCTGCGGAAATTGATTTTGATGCTTGAAATTCATAATTGATACTTTTTCTTGAGATTTAATTAAACTTTACAGACGAACGAGTTTTATTTTATGACGCTTTTAGCAGTATTCCAGCATGTAATTTCAGAGGAAACAAGAATGGGCTTCACATGGTGTTCCATGTATTTGGATGTGGATGTAGGGATGAGTGTGTGGATTTAGACAGAGCTTTGTACTGGGTGGAGGTGGTGTGTGTATATTTAGAAAGAGCTATGTACTGGGTGGGGGTGGGGCTGTGAGTTCAGGGTGGGGTGTGTGGATTTAGACAGAGCTATGTACTGGTAAAGGGTTGGGGCTGTGAGTTCAGGGTGGGGTGTGTGGATTTAGACAGAGCTATGTACTGGGTGGGGGTGGGGCTGTGAGTTGGGGTGGGGTGTGTGGATTTAGACAGCTTTGTACTGGGTGGGGGTGGTGTGTGTAGATTTAGAAAGAGCTATGTACTGGTAAAGGGGTGGGGCTGTGAGTTCAGGGTGGGGTGTGTGGATTTAGACAGAGCTATGTACTGGGTGGGGGTGGGGCTGTGAGTTGGGGTAGGGTGTGTGGATTTAGACAGCTTTGTATTGGGTGGGGGTGGGGTGTGTGGAATAAGACAGAGCTATGTACTTGGTGGGGGTGGAGCTGTGAGTTAAGGGTGGGGTGTGTGGATTTAGACAGAGCTTTGTACTGGTTGGGGGTGGGGCTGTGAGTTGGGGTGGGATGTGTGGATTTAGACAGAGCTTTGTACTGGGTGGGGTGTGTGGATTTAGACAGAGCTATGTACTGGTTGGGGGTGGGGTGTGTGGATTAAGAGAGAGCTATGTACTGGTTGGGGTTGGGCTGTGAGTTAAGGGTGGGGTGTGTGGATTTAGACAGAGCTATGTACTGGGTGGGGGTGGGGCTGTGAGTTAGGGTGGGGTGTTTGGATTTAAACAGAGCTTCAAACAAAACTAAACTAGCTATTAATTCAACAAGTCTTCAAAGTGACTTTAAGGGAGATTATTTTTTAACATAGGGTCACAAAATACAATTGCATGCAGTATTCCTGAATAAAATCAGGCACAAAAATATTCATAATCCATAACTTTTTTCTTGCCTAGCTATCAGTTGATGTTTGGAAATAATTTAGAACTATTATTTCTTATATCTACTTCATGTAAACTATTCACAGACATGTGACCCATTATGTCCAAGGTGTAGCGCACACTATTACAGACAGCTGGGACTCGCAGACAAAAGGCATTAATATTAATCCGAGATAATAGATGAACTTTAGATATCATGTTATATTCATCATGAAAGTATTTTATCAAAAACACTAAAATTTGCATGTATTTGTATCAAATTTTAAAATTCAAAGTTTAGAAATATGATTGGAGATAAACATAGAAGCTGTTTGTAGAAGAAGATGTGGGTTTGCATGTTCATGTCCATTCAGTGGAATCTGTACATATAAATAACAAATGAGTATCACTTTAACTAGTTCAAACTAAACCGAACACAGTTACAGAATGGCGCTCAGCTTGCAGACTACCAACAGGGGGCGCTGTGCATGAATGGCAGTCGAGGCGATGAACACTCGTACTACTACAGCGGCTTACAAGACCGGTACACATTCCCGGATCTGGCTTTCCCTCGTGATTCGGTGCTTACCTGGACAAAAACAGATTGGTTTTTAAATAGCCAAGCTTTTAACTTCTCATGAGATATGGGTACGATTGTTGGTTTTACTACGGAGAGCGGAGTATTGATCAGAATGGCTCGGTGCGGGAGGCTGAGAGAGTCGTGGAGGCTGTAGCTGACTATATTGACCCGGTGGAAGGATGCTGGCCGTGGGGATTGTACGAGAGCTTCTGGGGATGTGCTGTGGCTTGGCAGTATGGAGGATGGGTCGTGGGGATTGTACAAGTGCTTCAGGGAATTGGTGCAGGTAACGTTAAACGGTCTGAAACTTTTGCCCCCATTCTCAAGCCCAGCAATTTCTCTGTTTGGTTTCATAAGCTCAGGTTATAATTGTCAGGCAAGTATCTGCTGTGTTCACGGAGGTTTGGGTAGAGCCTAAAAGGGTCTCCACCGCCTGCTGGCCATTTTCATTAGAGTCCTTGACAGAGATCTAGATAAGTTGTGAATTTATGTACAATAAGCACAAAAAATCGCTATTAAATGTGGGCAGTCCAGAAAGTTTTAGACTAACCAACAAAAATAACGAAAGGGTCAACATAAGAGTGGTAGTGTTGATTGTAAGTGCTCAGAAAATAACAGTAAACTGGTGGATTGTCAACTTAGTAACTTTATCTCCCAACCATCAGGCGTGCAACTTTTCAAAACTGATGACCCGTCAGCAAAATAGACTGTCTCGGACTGTCGGGCAGGCAGGTATTCCAAACACTGCCATAACCAAGTTAATCTTGAGTTGCTTGCAAACGAATACTCATTAAAAAAACCCCAGTAATATACCAACACTGTACGTAATTAGCCTATTTCTGATTGCATACCCGTATGAGAAGCCAATTAAATGGGAACCTAGTGTTTGCAAGAAAATACTGACAGTCCTGTAAAGTTTCCGTCTCTGTAGAGGGCGTTGGGACGCTAATTGGAAGAGGGCACTTGGTACGGTACATGGATGTTAAAAAGTGATGAAATATAGCAGTCATCCTGTATGTCATTTTGATGCCTCAAATTTGCAATTTCATATTAAGATCTTGTTGGGACTCGCTTCTTTTGGAAACACTTGGATGACTCGTTATGGGAATTTCTGAAAGCAACAAGATATTTTACAGCCTTTGTTTGACATCAGTTTAATAGCTTGAAAACTTGATCTCTGAAGGTTTGACTGTATTCTAGTGTTGAAATAACATGCTTATTTAAGTGAGAGTTGTTGATGGTGTTTTAAGACATGTCTCATTCCAAAATTTAATTGAGAATTTAAAAGGTTTTACACAACAATTATTTGAGAAAAAATTGACACTGTCTAACGAGTTTTGCTTTCCGGTATGCAGTATACCTGACATACTGTACAGACGGCTTTGTATGTTTCAGAGAGGGACACGTACCTCCCTTGGCTGGGTGCTGCTGATTTGCTTCATTGAACCTGCAGCTGAAGCCACAACTGCTGATATTATAGGTCTGGTGAAATAAACTGAACAAGAATAGTTTGGGGTTAGGAAATATGTTTATGTTCTTTACATTTTAAAAAAACTCGGGAAGAGCTGGAGGAAGTAAGAGCTTGATAACGGTGTAAGAATCTGCTATATGCAATAAACAAGAAGTGCTTATCCATAAAGTTGTGTTTTCTCCCAAAACATATCCCCCCAAACAATGATGATCCCTAACTATTTTTGTTCAGTACAGCATACTTCTATTAATGTGAGTCTACGTGTCAGGTTTTAGTGAGTGAGTGATAATTGCTTTATGTTGAACCAGGCCTCTATTAAGGGACTGATGCTGTAACTGTCGTAAGTTGAAGTGATATATAGTAACACACAGCCTTCTTTTGAGTCATATATAATATATATGCAGCTATAATGTTCCCCACCATAAGTCCTGTAGGAATCACAATGAAGACCCAGGCTAACAGTTGGAGCAACCCATGCTTGTTGCAAGAAGCTACTAACAGATGGAATCGTCCAGCTCGCTGACTTGGTTCATGCATGTCATTGTATCCCAGTTGCGTGGATTGTTGCTCATGATGTCAATCACTGAATAAGCTGGTACAGACTCGATGATTTACAGACCACAGTCATATAGCTGGAATATTGCTGAGAGCAGCGTATAATAACAAACAAACTGTCCAAATTAACAGTACAGGTTGACTAGCGACACTTTTCCTGTGCCACTAGTGTGAAAATAGGAGGCTAACAGAGCTTGTGGGAAACTAAGGTGTTGGACTTTTAGCTCTGCCTTTAACAGAGGGGCATGGTAATTGGCCAACAACATGATTGTAAGGCTACAACTATCTTAAATCCATGAGAAAGAACATAAGATGGTTGTAGCACTGAGGTAACTTGAGGCCTGGTCCAGAGAGCTAAGTATGTAAGTGACACTAGTTGTAGCCCAGAGGTAAGGCCTGGTCCAGAGAGCTAAGTATGTAAGTGACAATGGTTGTAGCCCAGAGGTAACACGTTGGCCTGGCCCAGAGAGCTAAGTATGTAAGTGACAATGGTTGTAGCCCAAAGGTAACACGTTGGCCTGGCCCAGAGAGCTAAGTATGTAAGTGACAATGGTTGTAGCCCAGAGGTAACACGTTGGCCTGGCCCAGAGGGCTAAGTATGTAAGTGACAATGGTTGTAGCCCAGAGGTAACACGTTGGCCTGGCCCAGAGAGCTAAGTATGTAAGTGACAATGGTTGTAGCCCAGAGGTAACACGTTGGCCTGGCCCAGAGAGCTATACTGCTTGTTGATTGCAGTGTACAGCAAGTGTAAACATAGGTTTGTTCTTCTCAATTTCACTGGAACTGTTGGTTGCAATACGTTGTAGAATGGTAAACTTTGACTTTAATAAAAACATACCAGTACAAAGGTTGAAAAGTAATGTCTAAATTGATTCACAGAACAATAGAAAACAATGTGCAAGAATGAGTTGGGCCCTCTTTTCTTTGGGAAGATCTTGAACCCGGCTGTAGAAATTTTATGTCACTTCAGACACTTTGTCCCCCGGATCTCTGTGGGTACAGTGCATGTAAGTTGTCTTCATCTCTGGTTCCCAAATCTCTCTCTCTGAATGTTGCCTTGAAAAAAGGGAGGAGTGTCTTGTCCATCATTCTAACAAGCATAATTGATTAGGATGAATGTTATCATTAAGGACAAACAATTAAATGGTTTTGTTTATTTTACAACCTTATTCCTCTGAATATGTTTTCTCCCTGTGATTAAAGTCAGAAAGAAACTGTGACAGCAATATATTCAGCTGATAAAATTCTATAAAAAATGACGATCCTTATCAAACATTCCAATTTTTGCCCTGAGATTTGAATATCTTTGACCTTTTCAAGGTCAGAGGTGTAAAATTTCAGTGGCAAAGATTTGAATGTGCTTTTTTTTTAAAACTCTGAAAATGGCCTTGACCTTTGACCCCACACATGTTTCTGTTTCCTGGTCAAAGGTCAAGGGTCATAGATAACATAACATGTCTGCATGTGTCTGCACATTTAGAGAAGATCAGCAACACAAGAGCTTATTTTATTGCAGACAGAGTAAATACAGCAAGTAAGATAAAACTGTCTCAGTAGGTTATTTAAAGCTTCTTGGGTAGAAACGTTGGTTCTTTAGTAATGTTATTAGTCATTCAGAGGTCAAAGGTTATCAATATTAACTTATCATTTAGGAATTTTATAGCTGTGGATCTGGGTTAAGCTTTATAAAATTAAAAAATGTATCATCTGTGAATGCAAGTATAACTGTTGCTTGCTATGTTATAATTTTAATAATTTGGGAAATATAGCTCTGTTAGGAAAAAGAGTAATATTCAACAATCATATTGTTTAATCATAAAAAATCATTAGTTTTGTTCATTTAATTTTCCATTTATCTATCATTATGTTTCTTCATCTTCTCTTTCTGGTGTCCTGCCATGGTATTGCTGAGTATTGCTGAAGGAGCTTAAAATTCACTCACTCATGACTGATGCTTTATGGTATGCTTCTGTTATTTTCATTCATTTGCTCTATTTTTATCACCCAAATAATTTGTTCTTTTTCATCTATGCACATTTAGCCACGTTGGACCCAAAGTCATCATTAGACTATTGTCTATCTTTTCTCCATATTCATTCATTATTCATCAGTCATTCCTCCATGTACATTTATTCAATCTTTCTTTCGTCTATCATTTCTCCATGTACATTTATTCAATCTTTCTCTCATCTATCATTTCTCCATGTACATTTATTCAATCTTTCTTTCGTCTATCATTTCTCCATGTACATTTATTCAATCTTTCTCTCATCTATCATTTCTCCATGTACATTTATTCAATCTTTCTTTCGTCTATCATTTCTCCATGTACATTTATTCAATCTTTCTTTCGTCTATCATTTCTCCTTTGTACATTTATTCAATCTTTCTTTCTTCTATCATTTCTCCATGTACATTTATTCTTTCTTTCGTCTATCATTCCTCCTTTTTACATATATTCATTCTTTCTTTCATCAACATTCTTCCTGGTACATTTATTCAATCTTTCTTTCATGATCAATCATTCCTCCATGTACATTTATTCAATCTTTCTTTCACCTATCATTCCTTGTACATTTATTCATTCTTTCTTTCTATCATCAATCATTCTTCCTTGTACATTTATTCATTCTTTCTTTCATGATCTATCATTCCTCCATGTACATTTATCCAATCTTTCTTTCACCTATCATTCCTCCGTGTACATTTATTCATTCTTTCATCTCTCATTCCTCCGTGTACATTTATTCAATCTTTCTATCATCTCATTCCTACGTGTACATTTATTCATTTTTTCTTTCATCTTTCATTCCTCCTTGTACATTTATCCAATCTTTCTATCATCAATCGTTCCTCCTTGTACATTTATTCACTTCACAGATAGATACAGTTCACAGAACATTGCTATCAAGTATTTAACTCCTGACTGCATGACTGACAGTCTGATGAATCAACTCACTCACTCACTCTCTCGGTCTCTGGTGTCGCTGCCTTCACTCATCCAAACTTTCATCACTAATTTTCCCTCTTTTCCTTATTTAATTAAAGGAGTTGGGATGTCATTTCAATTTTGTTTTCATTTAATACAAATGTCAGTGTTTTCTGCAAGATCAGGAACAAACAATAATACAGATTTCTGTTCATTTGTCCATTGTAGCATTATTATTATTTTCTTCCTTATTATCATCATCATCATCATTGTTGTCATTATGATTGGGGGCGGTCGGGAAGCCTAGTGGTTAGAGCGTTCAATCGTCACGCCGAAGACCCGGGTTCGATTCCCGAGATGGGTACAATGTGTGAAGCCCATTTCTGGTGTCCCTCGCCGTGATATTGCTGGAATATTGCTAAAAGCGGTGTTAAACCATACTCACTCACTCACTCATTATGATTGAGGTCAATTTGCTAGACATGTTTCCCATAAAGTTTACTTTATTACTTCAAAATAAAAATATTTAAGATGGAATCTGCTCTTGGGGTGGGGGTGGGGCAAATCCATTCAGTACTTCAGCAATATTTTTTATTCTACCTTTCTTTAAGCTGATATTTCCACAAAAAGACGTAAGTAACGAGGGTAGTCAGACCCCAGTGGCCCCTACCCTATCCCTGAGACCATAACTTGTGCCGTTTACATGGCCCAGGTTTTGGCCTTGGGAACTGGGTGTGGAATCCAATACCATCAGTCTGAGCTCCCTTCACCTTGAACTTGACTTTTACAATCAAATCAATGAGATCAGTTTAGCTGTACTGTATATAAAGCGACCCCCACGTATAAGACAATCCCCCTGAAAATATTGAATTAAATTTTGAATACAATTAATAAAATAGATTGCAAAGGTAAGATATAGAATGAACTGTTTTTATAACCAAACAGTGTAATTACATGATTAGTTTGTGTGCTTCAGTACGGATTTGTTGACATGGTATTTCTGGTGTTACATGCTCACAGTTATGTCTGTGATGGGGGGAAAAACATCAAAACTCTACAACCCTGTGTATAAGACGACTCCCCTTTAAAGCCCCCTTATTTGAGGTACGAAAAACTCGCTTTATACACAGCGATATACGGTAATTTCTCTGACCGTTGTGAGTTTTTGGACATTTTCATCAAAACGAGTACATGTACACTTGCAGTTTTGTTCAGTTTTTATGTGGACACATTTCTCCTAGCCAGGCACAGTGTTCCTCTTTCCTTCCGAGACGAGGTGCGGTGAAATGGGGTCTAAGGTCGAATGGGAGATTATTGCTGTTATACAGTGTGAGCATGCTTGTACATGTTTGTTCGTGGGCTGCTACATGTCATAAAAAAAATGATTTAATGTGAAATTGATACACACAAAAGGCCCCATCTCTGGAAAAAATAACTCAGTCTTGATTAGATAAGCTAACTTCAGTAGTTTGGGGGAAAACTTCTCATTGCACACTCTATGCAAGTAAAATAACATGGATCAAGGGCCATAACTCTGTAAAAAATAATTTACTGGACCAATGTTTCAGCTCAGTCACAAGAAACATAGGTGACAAGTCAGGTGAAGTTCAGCTGCATTGGTTGCAGAGAGTCCTTGGACGGGCTACCATGGTCGGCAGCTTGGCTCGGGAGAGTTTCTGGGGCTGCAGTCCTGCCCTACACTGAAGCCCGTGTGGCACATGTGCTGTCTCCTTGGGCAAGGGACATCTTGGCTTGTATACTACCCAGGGAGCTGAGAATGAAAATTGAGTGCATATTGATCTATTGACTGGGATAATAATGTAGTGCCATGAGCATACTCTATGAGAGGAATTTGGCGTGTTTTCACACTTGTAAGTTAGTTAATGGGGCTCACACTATCAAGAAAGTATACTGTCATGAGATACTGTCTTTGAGATGTATCAAAGATTGAGGGTGCTTACATAATAAACAAGCAATCAACATCGCAATTGTTAACTTTTCACAAATATCTCTGAATTTGAAGGTGATCTATTGTATCCTTCTTGTCAAGAGTAACATGCATTGCATGACTACAAACTTTGCATTTGTTTCCTTTGGCATGCCTGGCAGTAGGTTGATACTAGCCTCTTGCCTCATGCATGGTGGTGCTTCAGCATGGACTGGTCCATACAGGTCAAATTATACACAAATAGGGAAGATAGAAACTACATTCAATCTGTGTTTTGCCAGGTGCTTGAAAAATTGATTTACAGACATCCCACACATCTGAAGTTCTTTTGGATGCCATTATTTAAGAGTAGTTAGTTCACAAAAAGTGTTGTGAGTTTATGGACTCGCCCATCTTTCATACGACATCTGCTTGCAGATATGGAGGCGGGTGAAACTTAGAAATGCAAGGCATTGTAAACCTTCGTTTAGTGTTGTTAGCTGTGTGTGAGGCGGGTCTGACATCGCTTTGAACCGTAATACAGGTGTATCATGACTTGTTGGCTTATTGTGGGAGGAAAGCCCTAAGTGATATTACATGAAGGTCTCCAACATTTACCAGTCGGTGAAACAATCGAGGCAAACCAGGATTCGAACCCAGGATCATAGTGTTCTTACATGCAACTTTCCACAGCAAATTGAGGCGCCGTAAACGACTTGGCCACCTGCCCCTACCATGATCAGTGTGATGTAGTTCATAAATTGTAATGAGATTTCTTACGTGCAATTTTTGAAGCAATTCAAGATTGGAGAATATAATGCAATAACTTCACAGAATCACTACCCAAAATGATTTTAATTACCATCTCTTGAACACCAATCTGCTGAAAAAATGTATCACAAATTACTGTATTGATAAATTTAGACTACTCAGCACATAATGTCCATAGTTCGTTTCCGGAGCATTACTGGAAAACCTTTAAGGTATTTTATCCAAACTTGCTACATGTATAAACCAAGGGCTGAAGTGGGGGCCGGGGGGATTTGTCATCTTTTGATGGCAGTAGGTTTTACCTCACAGAAAGCATTATAACTCACTGACTTCAGTATTGTTTTGCTGCATGGTTTTACCCATTGGGCACATGACAGAGGATCTATGTATACGTCAAATTTAATTGCCATTAATATGACATGTATGGTATGAAGACCCACCACCAATACTAAATGACCACAGGTGTACATGTAAAATACAATTGCCTGACAGTGTTGTGTTCCCGAGGCAAGGGAGTTAACTGATGATATAAGTCCAGTTTCTACCCTTGCCGAACTGGCCTGGAACTTCTGACCTAGTCCAGTGAAATGACATGGACATCTGGTTTGTAAACAACATGGTGACTGCAGTGCAGATTTTGGTTGATTGCAGGATTCACAAGGCATGTGTAACGATAAGAGACGATAAATATTTTCCAAATCTTTTCATGTTTTTTGTCAATGTGCTCAAGTGATTTGATGCATGTCATTACATTAGGATATGGATCTTGATTATCCATCAGATGGACGGTAGTGTTTAGGTGAGCTACGGTTACATTTGTAGGAGAAATCTCGAGATGTCTGTGTCAATGACTCAAGTAATGCTTTTTCCTTTTCATTTGTTTGTCATAATCGATGTAACTATTGCATGACGTCACATTGGCTGTTACATGATGTCATGATCAGTGTACTTCATTCTCCCTGATGATACGAATAAAGAAAATGTCAGAGAAATTATTCAGTGTTGTGTTTTGTTTTAAATATTATCCCCAAATATCCCCTCAACATATGCTACTCAACTGCTGATAGGAAGTTTCATTCTGTGTAAACATATACTTTATCTGTTATGAGAATCAGTTTTGTATGTCGTGGAAAGACAGAAATATTCCTGTCCAAAGTGGAGTACTATAATGGCCTACTGGTGCAGACTCCAGCCTTCTCATGAATGTCCACATACCCATTTTATGCACCCATGTTTGTTCCATGGTAACACACAACTATCAAAAACATTTCACCTGCAAATCTTTTCCTAGCTGTTTCTATAGATAGCTTGTTTGCTTTCAAAATTAAGATCTTAAGTGGATCATCTAAAGGCTTTTGAAACAAAGAATAACTTGAAGAACAACTCAAGGCTCCGTCTCCGAGCCATACCTCAGACTAATGAATATGTTTGCATACAATGACCATATTCTCAAAAATTGACTTTTCATATTTTTCAATTTGTATTTTTATTAATTTCTTGTGTTCCCATGAAAACAAATTGGAAATTCTTAAGAATCTTTTAAAATAATAAAGAAAGAGAATAAAACTACTGATTGGTCATTATGCATTCATCTACTTGCACAGTAAGATCTATCATCCAAACTGCTATTACAAGTTCAATAGTCCTATCTGCCATAGTCAACATGGCATCAACTGTAATGCTGATTCATCAATGCATTAATCAGAATCTGTACTAGTATTCTTCTGATAGTATTGTTTTTCGGATTAGCAAACACATTTATGGTAACAACTTAACTGAAGTATCAACAAAAAAGGAAGTGGTGGACATCTGTTTTTATGATTAAAACACATTCTAGTGTTGAAAGGTTTTCATTTCCAGAGCTGTTTCCTGTTTTTCATGGTTAGCTCTTTTCAATAAAGCTGTAGCAGTTTAGTGCCAAATTCTCCACAACCCACTGTGCTGTTTCCCAGTGCATCAAATAGTATGACAGATTAGCTATTAACATGATTAAACTTGTTTTGTGTACAAGACAAAAAATACCAATAGTAACATGTAACAAAATGTACATCTTCATGGATAAAAAGTTCTGGTTTATTGCATCTAGCAGGACATGTTGTGATCAGCAGCAGATTAACATTGACAACAACAGGTAATAGATAACAAATTCCGGTTTATTGCATATAGTGTCGTTTTGATGTAGATTCTTACACCGTTATCAAGCTGGAGTGACAACAACCAGGTGATGAGAGGTATATATGCTTGACATGTTGTGATAAGCAGCAGATTAACATTGACAACAACAGGTAACAGATGTCAAGTAGCACACAGATAACTGGCACACGGGTAGTGAAGCCAGATGTACAGTAAGGATAAGGATTAAAAGGATTAATCATTTGTAACAAGCGGATTAGATCTTAATTCAAATAGTCTGTTGCTTGATTAAATTCTTTATAGGCAGACGAGAATTATTGCTATATGCAATCAACCAGAAGTTGCTTTCCACAATGTACCTGATAGAATGCCAATCAGTGAGGTGATATGAAAAATCAGGTGTTCTTGAACTTCTTTTGTGTAGTATATTTGTGCTCTTGGTGAACTATTTTTCAAAATAATAAGCTATCATTACCTGCAGTCTTTTTACCCATGAATGTTTGTGAGAC